AACTTTGTCTCAATGTCTGCTATAGTGAATTTCACAGTTACTTACCTAGTGGAAGACACCATTCTAAGTTTACCTAACACTGACCTTTTATCACCATCTCTGGTGATAAAATGGGAGGCCTTGTGAATACCTGGTACACTCTGTTAATAATTATTTTAATACGACACAGGAGTGCTAATGCTGGACCTTGAACTTTGCCATATTTTTCATGCTTTGTTCATCTTCCTCATGTGTGTGTTATGATGCTGGTTTACTGATTGCCCCTGAAGCAAAAGTCTGAACACGGACTGTCTGTGAAGGCTTTTGGATGCCTTCATGAAGAGCTTCTGTTGGGCCAATAAACTGTGAAAACAACTTTGTGGAAGTTAGGAAGAAAAATGTGGTCAGTGGGCCTTTCAGATGAAATGCTAGGACATCGTGTTTAATCCCACAGCTCTTTACCTAAGCCTATTTTTATTTTTCCTTTTGAAAAAAAAAAAATAAGTCTCATGCTTGCACCTTTGTGTTCAGGTTGTCTCTTAACTGTAAGAGGGCATTGTTGTAGAAGTTAGGTTGTGCTGCTGCCACAATAATCAAGGATAAAACAAGGCACATCCTTTTGCCAGCAGCACGGTATTTTTCCCAGTATGTGGCCTGTGTTATTCCCCATCCAGCAGCCAGGCAAGTTGGCAGTTGTATGAAGTGCTGTGGGGAAGAAAGGGCAGCAGAAAATGCTGACTGTCTGCTGATGCATCTGTGTAATCACCATTCTGGGGTTAGATTGCAGGAACATGACAAAATTGCTGAATAAAGCCTGTTTACTCTATATTTTTTCCCCCTTTTTTTTATTTTTTCCAGTATGAGCTGCCAACTGTTGGTGCTGCAACGGGCAATAGTATAGCCTGTGGACATGAACAAAAGTTTTCCATGTGGAAGACAGGAAACAGAAGTGTATATCTACCATGTAATTTTGAATTAATCCTTGTGATTATGGTAGGATTGAACAGATCCCATAACAGAGCTATAGTCAGGAGAAAAAGTATTTTGGAATTAAGGTCAGAATATAGCTTAAGCATGAGGATAGAGTAGAAATAGAATCAGTACTGAAATATATGTCAGCCCTTCCATCCCTCTGGCACAAACACTTCTAACAACAGGTTGTTTCACTGCCATTTTTAACAGTATAATTTAGATAATTTAGTTAAACTGTGTTTTACTTAATGGAAAGCTGTCAGTAATGGCCACATCTCCAGCTGTAAAATGCTATTTTTTTAGGGTAAGATGAAGACATACATGTCTAGCTAATGGTTACAGGTGGAGTTGTGGGTAAGTTGCCAGGGGAAATTAGTGGATTCAGATTCCAGTAGTTTTCCATAGGGTGATGGATAATGGATCAGCTGAAGAGGGGATACAAGATGGGATGGTGAGTAGGCTGAAGAGCTTGGAGTAAGTAAGTCAGCAAGCTTTTACAATTAAGTGTCTCCCCAAATCCATTCAGTTGGAATACTGTGAGCAAATCAGCCTGTGTGAACCCCTGAGAACTGTGGGCATGTAACCTTTCAGCATTAGAATATATATGTGTGAAGGCAGGTTATAAACAGACCCAGTGGAAAAACATCTGTAATTAAAAGAATAAGGGCAGATTTGGGAGCTCAGGTCCTACTCTCAAATCCATCTAACCTGAGCAGAAGTGCAAACATGGAGGGGAGCATACTGACATCATCTCAGATGCTGGATAGGGTTTGAGCTGGTGTGGGAAAATAAGCATTTTCCTACATTTATGAGGTTTCTTCACTGATTTGTTTATTCAAATTAACTTCACTGGTGCATCCCTGGAATGGTCGCTTTCAAAGGTAGTCCAGTATTTGCAGCAGAATGCAACAACGCCTGACACTGGAGCAGAGGGAGGCAGGTTCCTGTTCAGAGGCATGTTCAAAAGTCTATATTGGAAACACATATGGAGAGGAGTGTTACAGTAAGAGAGGAAGTTGTTCAAACAGTTAAAACTGTAAAAGGTAAAAGCTTAACTAAAAAAGGAAAGTATATCAGTTCAAGCATGTTAACTGCTTTGCCTTTGCGTGCTTTTTAGAGCTGTGATGTTATCTGACCAGCCACTGGCTGTGATCTGTGTGTGATTATGATTTATGCTCATACAATTATGAGCATATGGTATAGCATTTAAAAACTCGTAAGTTTAAAATAATTACATTCTGGTGCCATTTTTCAAGAATTATTGTCTGTATGTTCTGGAATGGTTTTGCTGCCAATTAAGATTCAGTTCTGGCCTGTAGCCATCAAAATCATAAGGTTTCTTTCAAGTTTCATAATAATGTTAAAAAAAAGTCACTTGATTTCCTTTAAGGAAGTAAAAGCACTTCCTCTGTTTTTGTTTTTACTTTCTCTGCAGTTCACAGACATGCATGACCTATCACTGTGTAGGAAAAGGAGTGGGAACATTTCTTTTGACCTTCCTGAAGTGGATGACTAAGAGTTGGGCTTGTGACGGATTTTCCTAGATATAAAATTTTGTTTCCACAGGGCTTCCTAAGTTATGTGCTGCACTGGTAGGTTGTTGCTGACTTCAACTTTTTTCACGTTTCTACAGTGTTAACATATATAGCTGTAGAATACTGACCTTATTTCCAACCAAAAAGAGGTAGTCAAGGCCAGATCACAGCACTTACTGAGAATTTTGTCTGCATGGAAGGATCTCTTGAACTAAAGGTTTAAATGGACCAAAAGAAACGGAAGCTAAGGACACCTACTCCTTGAAGTATTTCATGCTCTCATACATTTGCTGTTCAAAAACTGCGACCTATAAAATCATTATACTTGGCAAACAAAAGCCCAAAGCATGGGCTTTCAACAATTCCTAAAGGGAGTATGAAAATGAGAGAAGTGGTGGTAAGCTAGCAAAAGAAATGCAGTGGTCTGTCTTTTCAGTATCTATGTTTTGGGTATGCCATGAAGAATGACTTTTTAAAAAGGGGAATGGTTTGTGATCCAAAGTTATTTAGAAACCATTTAAAGCTTTATAATTTGACAGATTGCATTATAGACTGGATTTTATTGATAGCTTCACTGTTGTGTTAAGTCTTCTCTGTGGTTTGAAAGGAAGTAGTCTGTGCTATATCATGTCTTGTTCAAAATGCAGCTTCAAATTCAAAACTGCATCCATCTTCGGAGCATCTGCTGCTCCCTGAGAGACCTTAGAGCAGCCATAGATTGGTGGGTTTTTTCCTGTGAACGAAATGGTCTTTCTCAGTCTTCATTTTGGTAATCTAAAAGGGGTCAGTTCCTTAGAGCTGGGGGGACTTTATTTTAGATTTTTGATTCATTTGAGCAGGTTTGTTGGAGGCGTACTCAGGAAATGAGTAGTCCTGATAGGCTGAGATGAGGGAAAAGAGTTTTGGGAAGGGAACTGCAAGAGAAACTTTGAAATGTCACAAAAATGCACATGGCAGCAGCATGTGCTTGACTTCAGTGCTATTGGTAGTGGAATTTTCATTGGGTTTTTTTCTCAGTAAGGTGCAAGGACACATTCTAAAACCTTTCATATATAGCAGAGAATCAATCTGCAGTAAATATATTTCTGTGTAAACCCTGTCCTCAAAGCAGTCACCAAAGGCAGACTAGTGTGTAGCTTAGAAAATGTAAAGGTTTATATTTAAATGCAGTTTCTCTATATTGTCAGATAGAAAACAAAATTTTTGTTCAAAATACTCCAGTTTGTTTGCAAATATTATTTTTCTTGCTACAGAAAAGGATGCTGTCAGTCAGCTTGCAATGATGCTTTTTCCTGTCATTTGGTGGGCTTTATGTTCTTTTACTTAATAGGAGTATAACAGATCTTTCTTACTGACATTAGAAAAAAGGTACTGTGTATTGAGTTTAGATTTTTGCTTCTGTTAAAGAACATAGGTGTGAAACCCAGGGGTATATGAAGGCCGAGGTTTTGCTCTCATGTTTGTACAAATTGATTGTACATCCATTACAACTTAAAAAATAGCAGCAGCAGTGTAAATTGATTGTAATGAGTTGCAGTGAGAGTGTATTTGGGCTTAGCACCCAATCTCTGTAAACTCTGAAGCAGGAAAACCCAATGGAAATCTGCTCTAATGTGTTTTTTCATTTCATGTTTTGGTGGCTTGCTTGGCAGCAAACTGGTTTAGAAACCAGCCCAGCAAGATAACCCAGATACATTATGTGGCATTGCAGCATCTGTTGCCATTCCTTCTCTGGATGCATCCTACAAATGCAGTCCTATGGATCCTGTGCTGGATGCAACCAATAATAGCAAAATTAAAACTTGAGTCACTTTTAGTGCTTGCAAGCAGTGACACAAATACAGGCTTAAATATACACATTTTGCTGGCCAAAAGAGATTAAGACTTCTATGGGCATCTATGTCAATTTTGATGAAAAACCAAGGAAAGAAAAATACTGTGTATGATACATATACCTTTGGTATAGGGACTTGCTGCATATATGATTATGTAGGCTTTGTGGGGTTTGGATTTTTTTGTTTGGTTGATTTTTTTTTCTGTGTGTGTTTTGGATTTTTTTTATTTTTTTTTTTTTGAAGGGGTGTGGTGTTTTGTTTTGGGTTTGTTTTTCTTTCTTTGGGTGGTTTTTTGTTTGTTTAATATGCAGGCACTGACAGAACTAAGATCATCCAAAATCTTCTAAGAAGGGTGAGAGAATGTAATCAGTTGTGTAGGTGGGACTTCAAAACATGTAGAGGTACAGACCCTGTAAAAGGGACCAGATGGAATGGTGGAGATGGTTTGCAGTGGTAGATGACAGAGTAAGTTATCCTGTTTTCCTCTGGAGAACAGCAATGAAGGAAAGAACTGTGTGGCACCTATAAAAGAACACTTCTCTGAAGCTGATGGAAAGCAGGATCAGCATGACACCTGTAATTTGGAACTCAGAGGCCTTGTAGTAGGGCAGATGTTCATAATTGGAGAAGGTAGTACTCATACAGTCATTGCCAACATGCATGTCTGCTGAAGGACTGCAGTTCGCAGGTTTCTGTGGGTGTATCATGGAGCTTCACCTGTGTGTTTCCCATAATGTGGAGCAGAATTCAGCAGGAGAGGTTCTTGTCTTGGCTCTGAGCACTTCAGTGAAGTGACGTGGCAGAGCATCACTGACTAACAAGTATGACTAAAAGTACAAATCAAAAGAGAGAGAATGCATGAGCTGGCAAGCATGAATTTTGATGCTGATCATCACTTTGTGGTCTGATCTGAAGAGGTGTCTAAATCTGGCACAAAGTAGAACATAAAGGAGACTACAGACAGGTCGCAGTAAATGTTCCATAATTGTTTCTATGTGTAATCCTGCTTTTCCTCTTTGTTTACAGTTAGAGCTAATTTAGACTCTTGTAAGTTCCTCCCAGCAGGGGCATGTCATCTTTGCGTCCCAGCTGATGGGAACACTTATGTTCTTTATAAATAGACTAGTGAAGCTGGTAGGAGCAAAAATGCCTCTCAGGATGCTGCCAGAGCCTGGGCTTGAAGGCAGCAAACTGTCTCCAAATTGAACCTCTAAAGGGTAAGTGTTCTGGGAAGAGGCAGAGACTAAATTTAAAACGTTTTTCTTTCTTCCTCTTTAAGGGAAGGATGTGCACAACATATAAATTGTATTTGAATTGCAGCTGTTCAGAACTTCTCTCACATATACTGATAATTTTAGGAGTAGAAGAGGGACTGGAGAAGGAAAAGGGTGATCTAGGGGAATGGCATCATACCAAAGGAATTGTGTGTTTACAGTACCTTCTATTTTGGCAATATAGTTCCCTTCATATCAAAGTTAGTTTATGCATGTTCTTATTTTTTTCTTAATAGTCCTAGGAATTATCAATTTTGTAGAAATAACTGCAGTAGTGATACCCTTTAGTGATTACATGTCAAAAATTACTGTGCTAGATTAAAAAAAAAATACTTTTACGGGGAATTCAGGTCTTTTAAAGTGTGACTTTGAAATGTTACTGAATAAAAGTCACAATTATAGTATTTAATTATAGCATTTCTTCCAAAAACTATTGTTTGAATTGTCAGAAGTATTTGGTTGTAGAAAGGGTGCCTTGCAAGGTGATTGGTGGTTGGAGTATGGGAGAGATAAGCTGATACACCTACTTTTACATTCTGTGGAAGTGTGAAAAAGATAAAAGAATCAAACACTGTAATGATCTTTTCATGCTTCTTAACAGTTCTCACACTTATTTTTCCCTCCCCACTCCAACCCCAGTTCAAGAAAACACATCTCTGGCTGCAAAATATTATCAGCTTCCAGTGCCAGGAAACCCATAAAGAGTAGTTATAATGTTGCAGCATTACGTTGCATTAGCTAAACATTAATGCACTAAACATAAGTTGAATATAGATGTCTCTGCATGACTGTTTATTACTCAATTTTAAGAGATCCACCGACTTGTAGGTTCTAATTTTAATAAAAGAAACATATTCTACAGGATGTGGACTGACAAAAATCAAATGCAAACCTAAACTATGTAAAAATTTGTTCTGCTTGCCTCTCTGAATTGCTGATCCTTGAAAGAAGGAAACTCGTAACAGCGATTGAATAGCAGGAAACTGTCCTTTGAAGGTTATAAGCTGAAGACTGCTTTCTCAGATTTTCCAGTATAAAACTGTATGACAGTCCAGCGCAAACCTGAAAGCTGGTTAGGAGAAAGAGATGTTTAAGACATTCACCATGTTATCTGTCTGTGCACCTTGAGATTTAAAAGCTGAGATCTCAGCGTCAAGTGAACCTTTTCAGAACAGCGGATTATCTTCATGGTATGGTCAAATCTCAGTATGGCTAATGGTCCCTTCATCACTTCTGAATGCTAAGCCGCTCCTCACCTTTACTTATTAAATCCAGCAGTAAATTTGCAGCACAGTGAAAAAAGCGAGTTCTGTAGATAGAGGCAAATTTTTTTTTGAGTAAGAGCTCTATTTGATCCCTTAGCTATAATGAAGTGAGAGCTTGTGTTGGTTGCTTTGACATATTGGGCGATAGTAGTGTCCCATGTTCAAAAGCTTTTGTAGATCTCAAGACCAGCCGTGCCAGTATGAGGAGTTTAGAACTGACTAGATAAGGAACAAACTTGGAATCAGAGAAAAGAGAAAATTAGATACAGGTATTTTAATGTTCTAAATAGTAAAATATATTAAACTTTAGCAACTTAGTTGTTCTTATATATATATATATATATATACATATATATACACCAGATGTGTGGAGACAGTGCTCTCACAGGAGAATGGATAATTGGTACATAAACTCTGAATAATCCTGAAAGATATACAGCAAGGCCGTGAGAGGCCCGAGGAAGCTTAAGCAAGCAAGATAAGAAGAAGCTGGAATTCACTGCGTTATGAGAACTGTGGACTGTTGGCAAGCTTTCGAGGTCAAGTTCTCACACCTGTGCTTAACCATTTATATGTTAGTCGCTAAGGGTCTTCAAGACATGTATCCAATTATAATATGCCAGATCACTGTAAGTGCCTGTAAGAAATGGTATATAAGGAGTTAAAGCTTTGTAATAAATTGGCATTCACTGATCACATTGATTGTTCCTGCGTTGTCCGTGACTCCCACGTTGACACCAGATGCTTGCTGCAAAAATTTTAAACAATTTGAAAATAAAGTTGTAAGTGGCTATCAGTTTTTACATATCGACATGTAGCTATGCTGTATGTAGTGGGTAGGTGCTGCTTCTTGCTGTTTCCATTAATGACTACCATGGAGTAGTACATGTTGCCCTTTTTACCCTGGCTTTCTTTATATCACCTTTTTTTTTCTTCTTCTTCTTTTTTTTCTTTTTTTTTTTTTTTAAATGAGGCTGCTGACCTCTTTACACTTCCAGTCAAGTTCTGTGTTTCATGTGGTTACAAACTTCTAGATTAAGTCATGGCTTACATGAGTAACTTTACTGAGCAGGCTTTATTTGATTTTTTCAATGATGAGCTAGTTCTACATTTCCTAGAAATGTGGTTTTTTTACACCAAGTGATGTGACCTATTTTTCATAAATGCTTTTTTTGAAAATAAAATAGTATTTGGTTCTGGTGGGAAAACGAATTACTAGCAACAGTATCGTAGATGCTAGCTTTGTTACTTCATGATGCTACGCAAAATACAGTTTCAGTGTTGCAGGAATCATATGTCCAGTTTAAATTGCTGCAGGGGTTTTATGAGGCTTTCCTCAATGTGATGATTACAAGCATGAGTAACTAAGCAGGTCGTGTGGACCAGAAAACTGGTGCTGCTGAGTGCTCCAGTTTCCTCTCTGCTCTGGTGCTTGCCATAGATCTTTGTAGCGCTGGTCAATTTGGTCATGACCACATGATCCCAGCCACTATTTTTCATTCCTGCAGGAAAAAGAGAAAATCCCTTGAAGCACCAAACAAAAGGTTTGGCTCATGCCACTTGCTGACACAGCTATATTATCCCAATTTCCAATTCAAGAGTATGAAATTCTCCAGCTATCAGAGAATGTCTGGATGCTGGACTTGCGGGTTTCAGTAGATGAAAAATAGACTGCCTGGTAGTCTGCTGCCAAATGGCTGGGGAATAACTGATGGAGCATCATGAGTTGAAGTAAAGGCAGAATTCTTCATTATAATTGTATAAGGAGCTGTCATCTTCATTTCGGATGTCTTCAAAACAGATTTTGTCAGAAAATAAGCCTGCAGATGTAGATGAAAAATAAAAGATGCATCAAAAAGCAATTACAGTTAAAAACTCTCCTCTGCATTGTAGAGATATTACACTAGTGAGTGGGTCCCTGTGTTCTACTATGACTTTTTCTAAAACCATATATGAATGTTACTCCAGATAAACCTTACGTTGTCTGTCAGCTTTTTGCTCTCCCTCCTAGGCTACAGAGCCTTGCTACAAAATATACCTGTATCTGACTATGGAATATAGAATATAGTTAGGGACTTCATGCTACCTTACTTTTTGGACAAAGCCACCATTTCTTTTTGCTATTTCACTACAGCCAGTTTTGCTTGGTTGTATTTCAGTGGACAATGTCACTTTGGTGTACCACATCAGATAAATACACTAGTTTTATTGAGGCAGACTTAGAAGAGTACTATTGATTATTTATGGAGACATGCTATTTTAATCAAGTAAAATCATTTAAGCTGTCATGGTGAGTCAGTGTAATAATGTGCTTACGCTTCATGCTAGATAGCAGGTTTGTATTCTAGATGGATACAGGTGATTTAGAGGATGTAACAGTATCATTTAGTTGGCACAGAAGTTTGGCAGTGGTGGTTTAGTGTCATGTCTAACCTTGCAAGTGCATTGAAAGCAGTCATTTTCAGGGCCAGACTTAAAATAATCAAAAGAAATAGCTTAGCTAGTCAACCCTGCAGAAACTGTATTTTGCACAGGAGGAGGGGTTGCTGGGTGGGAGGTTCCATGTGGAGCACTAGCCAGCAATACCCAGCAAAAAGTAGGTTAGTCATGCCAGCTGCTCTGCTGGGAGCTACAGCTTAGCCTGGGCTCTTAGCAGACATGCTGCTGTCACAGCCTTTCTAGGTAGGTACCAACTTTTCCAGTGAAATGGCCTAAAATGGAGAATGTGATTTGGTCAGGTTTTTCCAGAGCCCTCCAGAGGCTTGGCTGAGCTATCTGGTCTTGCTGTCAGTGGTAAAACTATTTTTACCCTTGTGTGAGTGTGTAAATATCTTAGCACCTTCCATTAGCACATGTTGGCCCTTTTGTGTAGTCAGAACAAGAAATTGAGTTTGTCCCAAACATTGCTTGCATTCAGTCATGGAAAGCTTTCCAAGAATGACCATGAACGGAGCAAAGAACAAGGATGTTGGTTTTCGATACCCTGTAGGTAGGACTGAATCTCGTTGTTCGAGGCTGATAAGCTTCCACAGGACTTTGGAACTTGCTTACCAGACTTGTATAAGCCAACTGAGTATGCGCAAAAGATGGGGTCATATAGCAAACACCACAGGCAAGGACCATCCTGAGGACCCTCTCAGAATCCTGAGCTTTGGTACTGCATGGGTGTTCACTAAACTATGCCCATGGGGAGGGTGCTCTAATGCTGTGAGTCATTCTGGCATGTTTTGATGAGTTGGATCATGTTTAACAGATAAATTCTGTGGGTAGTCTGTATGCTGCAAAAGGTGGCTAAGAAGTAGCCTTTTATATATCTGCATTTTGATACAGGATACTTCATTAACAACTGTTCTTCAGAATATCTAGACTGCTTATGTGTGTCATGCTTATAATAATGTTCCTGAAAAAAGTTTGGGGGTCTGTAAGCAATTTTTATCAAGTCCTGCATTCATAGAAAATGTAGAATCATTTAAGTTGGAAAGGACCTTTAAGATCATGGAGTCCAGCCATTAATCTAACACTGCCAAGTCCACCCCTAAACCATGTCCCAAAGCACCACTTCTGCACCTCTTTTAAATACCTCCAGGGATGGGGACTGAACCACTTCCCTGGACAGCCTGCTCCAGTGCTTGACAACCCTTACAGTGAAGAAATTTTTCCTAATATCCAGGCTAAATATTCCCAGATGCAACCTGAGGCTGTTTTGGTCTTGGGCAAAAGACCTGTTTAAGGGATGAGCATAAATCACTGCTTTTCTGGCACACATCAGAATGCTGCCTCTCGTGAGCTGAGCTCCCAGGGCTGAGTTCTGCCTCTTCTGCAGCAGTACGGTGCTTACCTTTAAAAGCAGTAACAGTTACTTATCTCCAAAGAACCAATGCCTGGAGAATAGCAAGGTGGTGGTGTCAGCTGTGGATAGAATCGACCTTTGAGTACTGAGGGCTTACAGCACAGTGATGGTGAGGCTGGGGCATGACCTGCACTCTGGCCTGTGTGCAGAGTAAATAGTTAAAGATCAGTATTCTCTAAATGTCATGTTAGCAGCAGATGCTCAGCAGCCCTGCAGCCTCCTGCTATGTGGTAGTATATTCTGAAGACCCACAGTGTGTTTTGCTCTGTGGTTGGTTTTTTGATCCGTCTGCATATAAAAATAGTTTTGTGGGGAGATAAGGTTGGTTAGCTTTTTATTCCACACACGCACCCACCCCCAGGCTCAGTGTTATCACTTCTAGCTTACAAATGCTCATTTCGGTGAGTACTCACAATACTTATTGTTCTGCCCTGACTTTATATATGCTGACTAAGTGCTGCTTGTCCCTGGGAGTACCTTGTATGCCAGCAAGGTACACCCAGGACACTGAGGTAGAGGCTTCAGTATATGGTCTTACATACATCCATGTGATGCCTGGCAACTTGATATCAAGTAGGAGCTGATAACAAATTTTATTGGCAGGCTCTTATTTAACAGCTACTGAACAGGAGCTGTTCCTGTTCCTCCTAAGTTGTAGCACAGCAACTTTTAATTTGTTAGTAGGCCAAAGTCTATTTAAGTCTTTCCATTTTGTTTATAATTTCTTGAATACTGTGTTTAAACCAGTATGTTTTAAAACAACTTCTGATCTTGCAATTAAGGTTTAAAGCTAATTAATTTTTTCCCTCTAAAACATCTTGCTAATATGAGGTGTATATGATCTCCTTTTTTCAGTCTTGTAATTTTTCCTTTTTTATAGCACCTTTTTTTATGCAGCAGCAGTATTGATGAGCACTGACAGTGCGCGAGACCTCTTGTTCCTAAGAGCTTTTTAGCAGATTTTACCTTCTCCTTCCTGCTCAGTCTGATTTTGCTTTTTCCTGTGGTTCCCTTTCTGTTCTTCCATCTGTTTGATTTAACTGCTTTATTCTCTCCTGGTGTTTTTGTATACACTAATCCTTATAGCTTCTACTCTTTGCAGCTTTGTTTAGTTTCAGTGGGTTAGTTCAGTTTAGTTTCAGCATACCTTTCACTAAGATGTTCCAGGATGAGCTGCGATTTTATGAAACTGAGAGTGTTAAAATTTTTCCTTCTCTTTTTTTTTTTTAACTTTATTTTTATTACTGTTTGCAGATGCCATTTATGGTGCTATTGGCATTTTGGAAAAATACTGTAATAGCTCTGGTTTCTTGCTTCTCAGAATCTTCAGTTCTTTCCATGTTTCCACAGTTTCCAAAAGCTGTAAAGATAGTCCTCCAAGTAAAATGAGATGAAAAGACCTCAATCCTACAAAATGTACATGCATAATACATTTCACTTACTGCAAGCCCCACCGCCTTCGTTTCTGAAAGATCACCACTCATGCTTTGGGTCCCATTGTTTCTCACTGTGGAAGTTACCTTGGGCCAACTTGAAGATCCCACAACTCTTCTTAAGACTAATTACAATAGATAAAATAAGTTCAGTGAGACATGAGTCATTTTCAAATATTAATGAGGAAGTTATGGGGGGGGGTGGATCTGAATTTTGAGATTATGATTTTACATAAGTTATCAGCACTCAGAGAAATCTTGGTAAGATAGTTTTTGGAGAGCAGAAGAGTTTTTATAAACAAATATGTATTAATTACATGTACATGTAAGCCTTTTCATTCTCAAAAGCAGGAAGGAAGCAGGAGAGATCTCTTTTCTGTGAGCAAATTAAGTGCCAGAGCAAAAAAATCCAGTCATGGGGAGAAAACAGGTTATTTTCTGTCAACATGTTTGAGTATGCTGTCATGAACAGAGCTCAGTTCAAAGGATCTGGCAATCTCAGAATATTGCTTTCAAGACTAAGCAATTTCCTGCACCAGGCTAGGAAAAGGCACCTCTTGCACGTAAGAGCAGCTGGTTGTTTAGAAAAGAAAGAAGAAAAAGGGGAACACCCCATCTCTTACACAGAGCCATTTTCCAGTGGAAGATGGATATCTGTGAAGACAGAGCACTTCAGCAAATTCTGTGCACTTTGGGATGACACTTGCAAGGAAAATTGTTGGGTTTACTAACAGTGCTTCTTGTTTGGGTATTTTCAGGAGAGGGTTGGGGTCTTTTGTCTTGGTTGGGTTGGGGTTTTTTTGGTGTTTGTTTGTTTGTTTGTTTGTTGTTTTGTGGTGGTTGGTTTGTTTGTTTGCTTTGTTAGGTTTTTGTTTTGTTTTGGGGTTGTTTTTTTCATTGGGTTTTGGGAGGGGTGTTTTTTTAATAACTCTTGCAATGGCTTATTTAAGTTTTTAAGTTTTATTAAATACTGTTAATTTGAAATATATTGTTCTGATCCTTGTGAAAACTGTTGTTTAAAAATGTTAATACGCAGAATTTTTCCAGGTGTTAAGTCAGTGTACTTTTCCATTTTCTGTGTAGTGGCATTTGTAATTTTATTTACTCCTCATTTTCTTAAATAAGAATTGTGAGCTTTGTATCAGTAAAACATTAGGCTACCAGTTAGAAAGCCATTTTAAAGTTAGGCTACCAGTTAGCCATTTTTAGCATATATTTAAGAGTGTGTGTGTCCTTTGTTAACATGTTGTAGGATAGTTTCGTTTCTAGGGCTGATTTACCAAATTGCTCTTGAGAGCTCTTAGAATCCTAGAATAGTTAGGGTTGGAAAGGACCTTAGGATCATCAAGTTCCAACGCCCCTGCCATGGGCAGGGACACCTCACACTAAACCATATCACCCAAGGCCTCGTCCAACCTGGCCTTGAACACTGCCAGGGATGGAGCATTCACAACTTCCTGGGGCAACCCATTCCAGTGCCTCACCACCCTAACAGTAAAGAACTTCCTCCTTATATTCAATCTAAACTTCCCCTGTTTAAGTTTTAACCCGTTACCCCTTGTCCTATCACTACAGTCCCTAATGAGGAGTCCCTCCTCAGCATCCCTATAGGCCCCCTTTAGATACTGGAAGGCGGTTATGAGGTCTCCACGCAGCCTTCTCTTCTCCAGGCTGAACAGCCCCAACTTTCTCAGCCTGTCTTCATATGGGAGGTGCTCCAGTCGCCTTATGATCCTCGTGGCCCTCCTCTGGACTTGTTCCAACAGTTCCACGTCCTTTTTATGTTGAGGACACCAGAACTGCACACAGTACTCCAAGTGAGGTCTCACGAGAGCCGAGTAGAGGGGCAGGATCACCTCCTTCGACCTGCTGGTCACACTCCTTTTGATGCAGCCCAGAATATGGTTGGCTTTCTGGGCTGTGATCACACACTGCTGGCTCATGCTCATTTTCTCATCGACCAACACCCTCAAGTCCTTCTCCGCAGGGCTGCTCTGAATCTCTTCTCTGCCCAGCCTGTAGCTGTGCCTGGGATTGCTCCGACCCAGGTGTAGGACCTTGCACTTGGCATGGTTAAACTTCATGAGGTTGGCATCAGCCCACCTCACAAGCGTGTCAAGATCCCTCTGGATGGCATTCCTTCCCTCCAGTGTATCAACCGAACCACACAGCTTGGTGTCATCGGCAAACTTGCTGAGGGCGCACTCAATCCCAGTGTCCATGTCAGCGACAAAGATTTTGAACAAGACCGGTCCCAACACCAGCTCCTGAGGAACACCACTTGTTACTCTTTTCCAGCTGGACATTGAGCCATTGACCACAACCCTTTGCGTGCGGCCATCCAGACAGTTCTTTATCCACTGAGTGAGCATTAACCCTGTGTTAGCAGAAGAAGACTTGATTTTATTGGAAATAGCATTATTTTTATTTACTTGAATGTTCTGTCTTGCAGAAATATAGTTAATCTCATAACTAGAGTGGAGACAACTTACAACCTTACTGATAATGTTGCCAATTTGAATTGTCTCATGTGCTTGCCTTAAATTAACTGACACTGTCAAAAGGGTATTTGAATTTTCTTTGCTATAGATGATGCTTCCACATCTGAAACATGTTAGCCAATGTTTTTTTGTTTGCAGGAATCACTGATATATGAAGATGAAACCATGAAGAGAAAGCAGAACGAATAATAATGCTTTTCCGAAACCGTTTTCTGTTCTTGCTGGCTTTGGCAGCCTTATTAGCCTTTTTGAGCCTCAGTCTACAATTCTGTAAGTGTCCTCCCGTTTTGTTTCCTGTGTATGGTCATCTGTAGGTGTGTTTAAAAATAGCCATTCTTACATGTTATTTAAGCATTCTTTTTGTAGTTGAATATTTGGTTGTTGTGTGTTTGGGGTTTTTTTCCAAGTAGGAAAATAAATGTAAGAATAAAGATAGTTGTATGTGCTATCTAGAAATCTATACAATCTAGAGACTTTTCAAATCAGACTATCTCAGAAAAAAAAAATCTTCATTTTGTAGTGCAATTAAGTAATTTAATGCGATTGAATGCTCCCATGAAAGAGAGAAAACACATTTGAGTAAAAACTGCTGCAATTCCTATTCTATATTGCATCAGACCAGAAGAGACTGAGAAAACTGCTGTGAAAGGATTGAATGTTGGAACTTTTTCTTACTTGTACCCTCACACAAACTTTTAAAAGTGGAATTGGCTTATCAGAAGTGGCCAGTTTGAAGGAAAGTTAAGAAAAATATAGATGAAAGATTCATTATATTGTGCTTTAGATCGATTAATCAGGGGTCAGTCCAGAGGGCTGTCACTGATCACTAGGCAGGAAGGTGGTGCTGAATGCAGGTTAATGTCTGTTAATAAATGTGCCAGGTGACTGCTATCACCTAGCTCATGAATGATAACATTTGCTAGGTAAAGCCATGTTTTGTGTAATCCGGTATGTACTAATACATGTTGATGTAATCAGTTGTTCTTAGAAGGCAAGGAAAATGCTTATCCAAAGTAGAGGATAATATTATTATTTGTTGTTGTCGCACTGTGTTTTAATGTAAGAGTGTGGTCTGACTGCTCTGTGCTTTTTTTGCATATTGTGAAAAACCTCCAAACAAACCCAGACTCAGGGGATTACTTTAGATTTAGAATGTGTCTTTTGCATATGATGGACAACTTGAAAATAAAAAAAGGGGGGGGGAGGGCGGGAAGGCAGAGGAAGAAACGTTGTAGGTTTATGTTGGGTTTTTTTTTGTGTTTAAACCCATCTGCATGTACAATGGGGACTTTATGTCACCAAATTGCTTTTTCAACCTCCTGTGGGTGCATGCCAGGAGGTCTATTTGCAGCTTGTTCTGTCCATTAGGCTCTCTATGGCTCTGGCCTTGACATTATCTGGTTGGTTAGGAAATTGTGTATAGTTTGAACATCCTAGAGGAACTTCAAAAGAAATATGAAAGCGAAGTGTTAACAAACGTGACCTTTATTTAAAGATAAGGAGGTATGCATATACAATCACAGAATGGTTGGGGTTGGAAAGAAACTTAAGATCGTCTAGTTCCAAACCCCCTGCCATGGCAGTGACACCTCACACTAGACCAGGTCGCTCAAGCCCGTACCCAACCTTGAACACTGACAGGGGTGGAGTATTCACAATGTGTTTGGGCGTCCAGTGCCTCACCACCCTCGCTGTAAAGAACTTCTTCCTGGTATGTAACCTAAATCTCCCCAGTTGAAGTTTGAACCTGTTGCACCTTATCCTATCACTACAGTCCCCAATGAAGAGTTCCTCTCCAGCATCCCTGTAGCCCCCCTTCAGATACTGGAAGGCTGCTATGAGGTCTCCACGCAGCCTTCTCTTCTCCAGGCTGAACAGTCTCAACTTTCTCAGCCTGTCTTCATATGGGAGGTGCTCCAGTCCCCTGATCATCCTGATGGCCGTCCTCTGCACTTGTTCCAACAGTTCACAGTATCACAGTATGTTAGAGATTGGAAGGGACCTCAAAAGATCATCTAGTCCAATCCCCCTGCCGGAGCAGGAACACCTAGATAAGGTTACACAGGAACGTGTCCAGGCGGGTTTTGAATGTCTCCAAACAAGGAGATTCCACAACCTCCCTGGGCAGCCTGTTCCAGTGTTCCGTCACCCTCACTGAGAAGAAGTTTCTTCTCAGGTTTAAGTGGAATCTCTTGTGCTCCAATTTGTACCCATTACCCCTTGTCCTTTCATTGTTTGCCACTGAGAAGAGCCTGGCTCCATCCTCGTGACACTCCCCCTTTATATATTTATATACACTAATAAGGTCACCCCTTAATCTCCTCTTCTCCAAACTATAGAGACTCAGCTCCCTCAGTCTTTCCTCATAAGGGAGATGCTCCACTCCCTTAATCATCTTAGTTGCCCTGTGCTGGACTCTCTCCAGCAGGTCCCTGTCCTTTTTAAACTGAGGGGCCCAGAACTGGACACAATATTCCAGATGAGGTCTCACCAGGGCAGAGTAGAGGGGAAGGAGGACCTCTCTCGACCTACTAACCACCCCCCTTCTAATACACCCCAGGATGCCATTGGCCTTCTTGGCCACAAGGGCACAGTGTCGGCTCATGGTCACCCTGTCGTCCACCAGGACCCCCAGGTCCCTCTCCCCTACACTGCTCTCTAACAGGTCGTTCCCCAGCCTATACTGGAACCTGGGGTTGTTCCTGCCCAGATGCAGGACTCTACACTTTCCCTTGTTATATTTCATCAAGTTACTCCCTGCCCAACTCTCCAGCCTGTCCAGGTCCCTCTGGATGGCAGCACAGCCTTCTGGCATGTCAGCCACTCCTTCCAGCTTAGTGTCATCAGCAAACTTGCTGATAGTACACTCAATTCCCTCATCTAAATCGTTGATGAATATATTAAATAATACTGGTCCCAGTACCGACCCTTGAGGCACTCCACTAGATACAGGCCTCCAACTAGACTCCGCCCCATAGACTACAACTCTCTGGCTTCTCTCCTTCAGCCAGTTCACAGTCCACCTCACTACCCGATCATCCAGACCACACTTCCTCAATTTAGCCGCGAGGATGCTGTGGGAGACCGTGTCAAACGCTTTGCTGAAGTCAAGGTAGACCACATCCACCGCTCTGCCATCATCCATCCACCGTGTTATTTCCTCATAAAAGGCTACGAGATTGGTCAAGCACGACTTCCCCTTGGTGAAGCCATGTTGACTGCCCCTCATAACCCTCTTATCCTTGATATGCCTTAAGATGGCACCAAGGATAAGGTGTTCCATCACTTTCCCAGGAATGGAGGTGAGGCTAACCGGTCTATAGTTACCCGGGTCCTCCTTCTTGCCCTTTTTGAAGACAGGAGTGACATTTGCTTTCCTCCAGTCCTCAGGCACCTCTCCCGTTTCCCAAGACTTGGTAAAGATGATGGAGAGCGGTCTAGCAATGACCTCAGCCAGTTCCCTCAGCACCCGCGGGTGCATCCCATCTGGACCCATGGATTTATGGATGTCCAGATTGCTCAACTGGTCTTTAACCCATTCCTCATCGACTAAGGCAGACCGCTCCGTTGACCTATCTTCATCCGGGGTCTCAGCGGTACAGGGCTCTTCAGGACTGCCTCCGGCAGAGTAAACAGAGACAAAGAAGTCATTCAGTAACTCTGCCATCTCTGTATCTTCTGTCACCAGGACACCCGTCCCATTCATCAGCGGGCCTACATTGCCTGTGGTGTTAGTTTTACCTGCCATGTACTTGAAAAAGCTCTTTCTGCTGTCTTTGACCCCTCTCGCCAGCTTTAATTCCAAGGAGGCCTTAGTCATCCTAGCAGCTTTCCTACATCCTCTAGCAGCAGCCTTATATTCTTCCCAAGTGGCCAGCCCTTCCTTCCATGACCTGTAAACTCTCCTCTTCCACTTGAGCATACCGAGCAATTCCCTATTTAGCCATGCAGGTCTCCTGACCCTCTTCCTCGACTTCCTACGTGTCGGGATGCTCTGATCTTGAGCTCGGAAAAAGCAGTCCTTGAACGTCAACCAACTATCTTGGGCCCCTTTACCTTCAAGCAGCCTTGCCCACGGGATTTCCCCTAGCAATCGCTTGAAGAGGCCAAAGTTTGCCCTGCTAAAGTCCAGGGTTGCGATTCTACTTGCTATTCTACTGACCCTACCACACAAGATCCTGAATTCTACCATCTCGTGGTCACTGCAACCAAGGCAGCCCTCAACCTTCACTCCTTCAACCAGACCCTCCTTGTTAGTGAGGATGAGATCCAGCAGCGCACCTCTCCTGGTTGGCTCATCCACCATTTGCATGAGGAAGTTATCATCCATACACTGGAGGAACCTCCTGGACTGCGGCTGGGTTGCCGAGTAGTCCTTCCAGCAAACATCAGGGAAGTTAAAATCCCCCACGACGACCACGGCCTGTGACTGTGAGGCCGCTCTCAGCTGCCTGTAGAAGGCCTCGTCAACTTCCTCACCCTGATCCGGTGCCCTGTAACAGACCCCCACAACAGTATCACCCCTGCCAGCCTGCCCCTTAATTCTCACCCACAGACTCTCAACTCGCTCATCATCTGTCCCAGGACAGAACTCAACGCATTGTAGCTGCTCTCGCACATAAAGAGCAACCCCACCACCCCGCCTGGCTGGCCTGTCTTTCCTGAAAAGGACATAGCCCTCCATGACTATATTCCAGTCATGTGAGCTGTCTCACCACGTCTCTGTAATTGCCACCAGATCATAATCTCCTGACTTAACACAGGTTTCTAGCTCCTCCTGCTTATTTCCCATGCTGCGAAATGTCCTTTGTCCTTTTTATGTCCTTTTAAATGTTCCATGTCCTTTTTATGTTGAGGACACCAGAACTGCACACAGTACTCCAGGTGAGGTCTCACGAGAGCAGAGTGAAGGGGCAGGATCACCTCCTTCGACCTGCTGTCACACTCCTTTTGATGCAGCCCAGGATATGGTTGGCTTTCTGGGCTGCGAGCGCACACTGCCGGCTCATGTTCATTTTCTCATTGACTGACACCCCAGAGTCCTGCTCCTCAGGGCTGCTCTGAATCTCTTCTCTGCCCAACCTGTAGCTGTGCCTGGGATTGCTCCAACCCAGGTGTAGGACCTTGCACTTGACCTTGTTGAACTTCATGAGGTTTGCACTGGCCCATCTCTCAAGTGTATCAAGGCCCCTCTTGGACAGCATCTTTTCCCTCCAGCATATCAACTGAACCACATAACTTAGTGTCATCACCAAACTTGCAGGTGTGTG